GGTTAAAAGTGCCAGGACAGTGTATAAACCAATATGTTAAAACATGTATTTTGTAATGTAATATCCATCAATCTTAATTAAATAAAGTATATACACTGCAGCGTTCCTAAATCCACTTATTCTCATTATGTAGCATGTCCATTATGTAGCATGTCCATTATGAAGTATGTCCATTATGTAGCATGTCCATTATGTAGCATGTCCATTATGTAGCATGTCCATTTTGTACTTTGTCTGATTATATAGATAACGTAACCAACACTCTGTAGTACTGAACAGTTTTCCGGATTCATTTCATTCACAGCACGGTTACAATTGAAAGAGGATTTAAATGGTCGTAAAAAAAACAAACAAAGGTTAATAATGATATAAATACATTTATTTCTACACGAATATCTCGGTCGTCCCTGTAGTTAACCTTCTTTAAACGGATTATTTAATAAAAGAGACTAAAGTCTATTTAAATTAAACAAGGACCACATTCAATTGAACAAGAACTATAGTGAATTCAAAATGAACCATGAATTTAATTGAACATCGACAACTGTATTAAAAAACACACATTGTACGTTACTATGGAGGTACACCTCAATGAAGTTACTAATGAGCCAAATATTAAATTGAACATAGATCGGGTTTCACTTAGACCATCCAATCAATAAAACATGGTCTACACCATGTTTAACTGAACATGGACCATGTATACAAACACCATACATTACATTCAACAATGACTACATATTCAATTGAACATGGAACATTTGCAATTAAATGCTGATGATATGGCTTGTATAGTGCATTTATCAAATAAAATATACACAGATGTTTCTATATTTAATTATCAGTCAACAAGAAAATTAACACTAAAAGATTTAATACACTACAAAAGTTATCATTCAGAGAAGCAGATTGACAACTGATGCAATTGTATGATCTAATTCAAGTCATTCTTTGTGAAAACTTATTAAAAAATAAACTTACAAAATACTCATAATATACATATTACCATTGATTTTCAGAAATTCAATAAAATTATTATACAGGAAATAGGTATCAAATTCTTTAAAAAATCGTTAATAAAATAAAATAGAATATAAAAGGAAAATACAATATAAAACAATAATAATTAATGCTTATCTAATAAAGATATAATAAATAACTAAATATCACATAATATACCATTATCATGTTACATATTAATAAATAATTTTATATTACATGTTATATTTCCTTCGATATAATTGTAATGCTACACCTATGTAATAACCTTTGACACAAAACATATTTAGATGATTTACTGTTTACAAAATTGTATAATAAATTATTGGGCATTGCTTAATATAATGCTTGCATTTATAAATGCATATATGTGCTACACTGTATAAACACAGACAACTTTTGAAGTACAACAAAAAACTGTTGTATGCCCATATATAGTCATGATGTGCCTATTATGGTCATGATGTGATGTCATCATTACCATATATAGATATGTCACATGCAGGCTGGAAAGGGCTTAACAAATAATTTTATTGACCTTTGTGTAATGATAAATAGAAATAAACTTGATATGCAGGAATTAAAATTGAATAATGCTGATACAGCCAATTATGCAATATAAATTTAAGGATGTTTATATTATATATGGATAACAAACGTAAACATAAACAAACTATATAAAAACATTTTGATAAATGTTTTTGCTTGTTAATAACACTAAGAACATTTTCTGGATTATATAATCATTTAAATTATTTTTTAAAAACAGAAATAAATGATGTATTTAAAAAATGGAGTGGGCAATTAGTGTGCAACACAATAATGAATGTCAGGTCTCCCTCCAATTAAAGACCACTTTTGGGACCGGGGTTTCCATGGCGTTTAGCAACTTTTGTCTCTAATTAGAAAAATAAAAATACTGTAACGGTCATTTGTTAATTTGGGATCACAGAAAAGTGGTTTTTAATTGGAGGTGGTCTTTAATTAGAGGGAGACTTATATAAGAATATTTCCACTTAAAGACCATTGTTGGGATCAAGGTTGCCACTGTCTTCAGCAGCTTTGGTCTCCAATAATATAGATAATAATAAAGATACTGTAACAGACATTTGCTAATTAGGGACCACAGAATTAGAGTTGAACTTTAAATAGAGGGAGCCCTGTATAAGAACCTGGTTAAGGAGACTATAGTACTGGATAACATCAACATCATCCTAGCAACAGACACCAGCACCTTTCATAATCACCACCACTACCAATAGGCCAAACAAAAATTCCTGTGCTGGGGCCACATTTTGGGTAAATCCAAAAAAAGGGTAGGTCGGTAGGAAAAGTTTTTTTTTTACCAATAGAATAGTGTGTTTACTTCTTATTATTAAGCAGCTAACTTCAATTTGAAAGCTCTGCCCCTCCAGCTCACTGAGTTTTGTATCTGTGTATCAGGCTGTGTGGTATTCTTTTTTTAAAATCTAAATAAATACAAATGAAAGAACCGAAAAATAAAATAATGTAATCAACACCACCATAACCACCACCATCATCATCACTATTATCAGCAACAGTACAAACAAAACCCCAAATCACATACATCCAATACAGCGTATCTAAATAAATACAATTTGTCATATTACTGTTACATGTCTTGCATTTTACTGAACAATATACAACTGTGCATATATAAATCCCATGTTTTATCATTTTACTTGATAGGTTACTTAAGACAGTGATAATGGGCCTTTCCAGGGTGTCAATCAAACTGACCAATGAGAAAGGTCCACTGAATGTTGGTGCTCTGGATTTTGTACACATCTTGATGGTATTGGCTACCTATAAAACTTGATGTGTCATACGGCAGTTGTAAGACCATCGGCCGATGAATCCAACTCCACTCTCTGTGGATGGCTAGAAGAAGCGATGCCGTCGCTTGCTGATTGTCGTTGGCAGTTTGAACGGATTGTCATTAAAAACAATCGCTTGCGTGCACGTCGTGGCGTTCAGTTCTCCGTAGAATCGCATAAACTGACGATTGTTGGGGGCAGTGAATAACAAGCTCTAAACATGGGTTATAAAGCAAGCATTGCCCTGTCTATATCATTGTACCCTACATCAGTCAGTCATCAAGTGGGTAAAACCACAGCATGGAATGGCAGTAAACTAAGGGAGTATACATCAACCAATGGGGTGTGAAGCCACAGCACAGAATGGCACTATCTTTCGGTAGATTTAATTGCTTTTTTCTTGTACTTCCTTAATGCTTGTTTTCTTCTGGAATCAAAGCGGGCGTTTCACTATGGAATTGCATGTCAAAGAAATCAAGAGAATTGTGCTGCTGAGGCGTCATTGCTTGCTTTCGTCTCGGAGAGCTTGATCCACATATTTCAGTTACCATCCACCGTGTTTAAAAGAAATTGTGCTTCAGGAAATATGTCGGCAAGAATCCTACAAACATTTGCAAAAAACAAATAGAAATTTCATCAAACACATCTTTTGTACTCTGTACGAAAATAGATGGTTTTGCAGATAGTTTTCAAAAGAACTGCTGTTGTGTATATGCCTTATTTTATAATAATAATAATAAATAATAATAATAACATAATAAAAATAATAATAGCAATAAGTTCAATAACAATAAAACTAATAATAATAACAATAATAATAATAATAATAATAATAATAATAATAATGATAAATAATAATAAAACAGTAATAATAATGATAAAAATGTTAACAGTAATAAGAAAACCCACCCACAAAAAAAAAATGATAATAATAATAATTATAATAATAATGATGATGATGGTGATAATAATAGTAATTAAAGGTGTGTAGTAATAATAGCCTCATGTACTACACATTATCCCTGGTCATTGGATTAAACACACTTTGGAATATATATAATAACAACTTTATTTAACCACGATAAACATCACCTCAGTAGTGTTTTTCATCAATGCTGTAACAGACATAATAATTAAACTTAATTATAAACAAGGAATAATATTAATTACAGAAAATACAAGGAAACTTAAAAACCAAATTAGGAAACAAAAATTAAAACATCAAAATACGAAAAATTATTGTAATACACAAAAATGTGCTAATCTAAGATAATAGATTGAGTTGCTTATTAAATGTAGGCTACTGAATATATCCTTTCAAAAACAATATATAGCTAGCTTAATTAGATTTTAGCATGTATCTATAAAAATATTCATTTGTCTTTTAATTTACATTTAAAGTTAGAAAGAGTAGTTAAAGTTTTGAGGTCATCACTTAGTTCATTCCATAATTTGCACCTCTGTAGGAAAGACAACGTTTTTTTTATAATCTGTTCTAGGTTTAGGATGTATTAGATGGTTTTTAGATCGGTGTTATAAGAACTTTCTTTAATATTGAATCTACAATTTAGGTAAGCTGGTGCCAAATTATTGATAATTTTGAACATAGTGATGGCTTCACTTTGAAACAAACGCTTATCAAGATTATCTATAGCTAAGACTGTGCAAGGCTTGACTACTAGAATCTCTTCTGTTTTTCGTATAACTTTGGCAGGTGTTTTCCATAGTTTTAAGTCTTTTACCTTGGGATTGGTTTGAGCGACAAACACAAGCTCTCTGGGGGAGTATTCCATAACGTTGCAGCAGCGTTTTAACCTCTCTTTGGTTAAAAGTAAAATTTTCATTTTTTAGCGTTTTAAATTGATTTTGTGGGTAATAGTATCTTTTAATGGATTTTGCCAAAAGAATCAAGTGGTTGGCTCCCACTATCCCTGAAGCGTATAAAACGATCGACGTGATTTATTGACTTCGGGTTCGATGGGTCGCGTCTGAGTGCTTGAGGTATAATTTGGGTCGTGGGCTAAAAAGTTTGGCAGAATTGGGGTCTATACACTGCGCACTGTCAATTTTACATGTAAGTTTTAAGGGTGAAATAGGATATGAGCAGGGGATTGTCTCCTGGGTTGTACTGCCCCACTGGAAACAAGATCTCCACAGTTCAGCTAACACACAGTGGCTACCACCAGTTTAGCTGACTGGGCTAAGCACTGGGCCACCTTTAAATTTTATTACTTACTAATATTGCAAGTGTACATATCATAATATTCAAAAAATATCCCGGATGGAAACATCTGTTGAAATGATTCAGAAGAGACAACTAGTGTCTGTTTGATCACCTAACTATTAGACACACTTCCAAATGAACACAATGTAATCTATTGTTTATATCTGCATTTCACATAATCAGTTTACTCATAAAACTATTTTCCCAGCACGTTATTGCTCTATTATTACGACTAAATTTTATTACTTACTAATATTGCAAGTGTACATATCATAATATTCAAAAGGAAGTATGTTGATGTTGTTTCAGGAAACAATAAAAAAATATCCCGGATGGAAACATCTGTTGAAATGATTCAGAAGAGACAACTAGTGTCTGTTTGATCACCTAACTATTAGACACACTTCCAAATGAACACAATGTTATCTATTGTTTATATCTGCATTTCACATAATCAATTTACTCATAAAACTATTTTCCCAGCATGTTATTGCTCCTTTATTACGACAAAAATGATTTGGAGCATAATAAAGTCAGGTGGTTATACAATCAACGGAAATTTTAAAGTGTAAAAGATGACAAGGTTGTCTATTATGCCTGAATCGATCACTAAAATTTGCGGTTCTTAACATCCTTTTCTTTCTTTTGCAAATATTGCATGCTGTCACTCCATCTTTATGGTAACTTTTAAACTACCAGTTTCTTCCATGAATCTTATCAATAAATAGATAGGAGTGGATATGGCAGCTGTATAATGTATTTTCTGAGGGGAGGGAGATAAACTGGCGCTTGAGCTGGTAGATATGCGCAGGGGAGGTTTGTGAGGGGTTAACTATTAAAACAGAAAAAATAAATAAATAAATAATTAAAAAGTAAAAAATTATTTTTTGTTTAAAAAAAAGTAACATATTAACTAAACAATTATAATAGTAACTACTTATAATAAACATGAAAATATTAACTACATCTCCAGTGGAGGGATGCCAATCGCCTTCTGCAGGTCACCTTGCGTGAAGAACTTGTGGTAGGTTAGTTCCTGTCAGAAAAACTCAAACATGTGACAAATTTTTGTGCAATGTACCCAAATATTGGCATTTCATTCATTTGTCACATAAAATTTGAATGTGGACAAAAAATTCACAATATTTGAAAAAAAAAAAAAATTATTATTAACAGGTTTGTTATTCCATCAAGTTACATAGAACATAGAACGATGGATGGCAATAAAAGTAGTAAATCAAAATATTTTTCTACAATTATGTAAGCATTAATCTATAATTTACACCAAAACATATTGGTCCAGGCTACAATTCAAAACTTTAGGGGGATGGGAGGGTCCCAATTGCTTGAAACTTGTGTGAATCTGACTGTAATCAGAACATCCTCCCACAAGCAAGCAAGAATTTCCAGGAAAAAACACATCTCCTGCAAATTCATAATATTTCCATGGAAGTCAGTGCTTTACCATCAGTTGTCTCATGGAAGTCAGTGCTCATGGGTATCAGTATGTGCAGAAAATAAATTTAAACGTGTTATGAAGGCTCATTAACAGATCGGTGGTGGATTCAAGGAGAGAATCAGCTGCCCCCAACCCCTAACTTTTTCAAAAAATTTTTTTTTTTAAATGAGGGGGCGGGGAGAAAAAAAACAATTATATTCAAATTTAAGTGTGAGAGTGCCATTTGCACCCATTGTGAGGTGTCATAATCATAAATTTTCTTACCTCAGCTCTAGCCCCTCCATTTGTAAAATTCCTCCCTGTGTTTCTTTTCTACTTCAAATTCCTGAATCTGCCACTGAGGATTTCATAGAATTGACTACTTTCAACTTGGACCCCAGGGCAGGTTCCCTCTTAACTCTGTGATAGGTACGTATAGCAATCTTCTTTGTTGTCTTCCATCCCTTCGTCTGATCTGATGAGTCACAACTTGTCATAAGTACACACAGCAACAGTTTCGTACATTTTGCATCTTCCTTTTTATACCCCTCTGTAATAAATTTAAAATAAAAATATATACCAGTATATATAAAAACAAACATTTTTAAAAAGATTACTGAAGCAAAATTAAGTTCAGTTTAAAAAACATTATTATTGCTTTTAAATTTATTTGCTTTATATTTTTGACATTTTGTAAGCATAAATTTCTATACACCTAAAGCTCTGTCCAGATTATATGCCCATATATAGTGACTATATGTGGTCATGATGTGATGTCATGATGCCCATATATAGTCATTACATGCCTATATATGTTCCTGATGTGACTCACCATGACCATATTAGGCATGCAA